CCACAGAGATGGGTGAGGAAAGAAAGCAGAGCAGAGACAGTGCCTCCCAGTTTAACAGCCAGTTGGATAATCATTCCAGCTTCTCCGACTGCGTGGGAATCACCGAGTTATTCATTCAAAGTTCAGGTTTCTGAACCCTGAACTCAACCGACTAAATTAGAATTTTTAGATGGGTACTAGTGGGTATACATTTTAACCAGCATTCTCCAGGAATTCTGAAGCAGCTCATCTGAGGACCCCATTTGGAGCAACTCAGTTAAGAAAGGAGGTCACCAGGTAAGTGGTATCTCCCGGGGGAACTTCCATCCAGGTCATGCAGATTGTGTCTGTGTCCTGTTACCTGAGCCACGCTTCTGCCCTCACTGGCTTGGCACTCAACCAACTGACACCGATGTGGTTCTCTTTACACGGTTCTTCTGGTCCCCAGTGTCCAAGCTTGCAGAATCAGCTCTGGGACAACTATCGTAAAAAGCAAACTCGAGAGCCCAAAAAGGTTCCCACAGTAGGACTGCGCACACACCCTGACTCCAAGGAAGACCAGATCTGCATGAGGATGAAAGCGAATCCATCCCTGCCCCGAAATAGCACAGGGCTCCGAGTGAGCCGCTTATCCAAACAGGCCAAACAGAGGACTCTGCGCCTTGGAGTCGCACTTCACCAGGCAGCTGGTGAAAAAGTGGGATGGCCTCGGCACCCGGTTCTCACGGGCATCCCGTGAAATGATACCCAGCAGGGGTTTTGGCCAAATTCGCTTCCTCTCCATCTCAGCCTGTAACCTAAGTCCACTTCCCAACAGCCAGAGGCCTCGCGGTAACTCCGGCCTGGCTCCACACCTTTCCAGTCACATACTTGGATTTCTTATCCTCCCTGGGACAAAGGTAAGCAACAGGGCCACCAGTAGAGGGAGGGGATGTAGCGGACAGATGTCAGCGGGCACTCACTCTTAAGGCATCTCACTCGCTCACCGGCCCTGGTGAGCAAATCTCAGCACATTAAAGGGTAACTGAGGAAGTGCCAGAGGTGGGGTTGCAGAACAGGAGACTCAGGGAAGTGACTGCTGCCCTCAGATATGTGAGAGGTCTTCATGTGACAGATGGAGATTTCCCCCATGTTATTCCAGAGGACAAAATGTGAGCCAGTGAGTGGAACTTTCTAGGAAGCTGATTCCAGCTTAAGAAAAAAAAATGCTATGTTATCACAAAGGCTGGTATTTATAGAGCACCAAATTAAGGGCTTTACGTAGGAATGTCATTAATCCTCACAACTCTGAGCGTCAGCCTTATCACCGCCATTATGCAGATGAAGGGGCTGAGAATCCGACAGGCCAAGGAGATCTCTGAAGTGCCGGGCAGTGGGAAATCAAACCCAGGGCTGCCTGCTCTGAAGCCCAGCCTCTTGACTACGACTCTGAGTTACTTCCTATCAAATATTCACATATTCGGGATATTATACTTAAGCAAATCCCTGTGACCATCTCTTAATGATATTATTTTTAAAAAGACTTCCTAAGGGAAGTTAGAACAGTGACCTCTAAGGTGTCCTGCCAACAAATGCAGCAGGAGGGCGTTGCAGTGGACTGAACTATTGATGCCTTCAGCTCCTGAGGCTCCAACTTGGGGTCTCAAGAGTCCTTGAGCTGCTGGTCCTTGGTTATCCCCGTGAAACATACAACTGTTACCGGTGCCCATGGGTACCATGATATGAAAATGGTTAAGAAGCAAGACTAAGTCTCTGCAAGACTAAGAGGACTTTCATTTCTACCCCATTAACACTGCTATGGATTTAGGTTCTTATCCTTCACTCTGGCCACAGAACAGAATCACCTGTGGGTACTTTAAAAAAATACTGATGCCCAAACCCCACCCCAGCCAATGACATGAGAATCGAGGGGGGTGGGAATCCAGGCATCAAGGTGACTTTGATATCCATCCAGCACTGAAAACTGCTCTAGATGACAGGGCTTGGCAGAAGTAGAAAATAATTAAGTGATGTATAAAAAAAATTTACTTTTTCACGAAGCAGATTACTAGTATAAAGCAGGCACTCTAGCACAGTGATCTGAATAAACTGCTATCAGGAATCTCTGATCTCCTCAAGTTTTTAACCAAATTATAAATCTCGCTCCAACTGTTACCCTTGTAGATCAGCAGAGCCTTGATAACATGGCTATTGCAAAACCAATTTGGTGGTGCCCACTCACGTACTTTTTGGTAGATTATGGTAACTGCCAAAGAAGTTTGAAGGGAGAAGAATTAGCTATCACTGCGCAACCTTGCTACGAGTTATAATGAAAGCAAGTCTCAGACGCAGATCTGCTTATTAAGCAAACATATATTAGCCAAATAGGCAAAAAAAACAATTCGTCAACCTGTTCCATGATTTTGGTGAAGTCCCAACTCTATGTCCTCTTAGTCCAATACACCTTACATGAAAAGTTCACTGAAGATGGACAGCGACCTTTCCTGGCAGGGGGCTGTGCCCTGCGGGAGGTCAGAGATCCCCCTGAACCAAGGACTGGACACTGCACTGATCTGATCAAGCTTCAGGTACCACCTAATGTGGTTAGTTATAAACCTAGAACATTCTTAACACCTGTTCTTACATGAGAAGCCAGGAAATACCTCTAAATTATTTTAGCCAATCCACATTAAACGTGTGAATTAGAATACCCACAATTTCACCAATGAGATCCTATTTCTAACATTTATTATACTAGTTCAAGAGTTACTCATTTTACCAACGAAACGCATTTTTGACGTTCAGAATGATGTCAAAACTTCTGTTGGAGAGAAACAGATCATGGAAGAATTTGTACTGGCCAGGAGTGTGGCCTTTTCTGATACAATACTAGCTGACTACTCAGCTAGTATCCTTGACAGCATGTTATCTGAAATTAACTGCATGTACATTATGTCACTCTGATTACCAGGTAAATTACAGCCATTCTAACACCAACATTGTGCAGTACAAGGCCTATTTAGTACTGAGTATATTTGACCTTATTATGTGTGTGAAAATATTTCCCAGTGGCTAATGGAAAATAGTAACCATGTGTTTACAAAGTTATTTGGTTTGTTTGGAAGATTCTGATATTGACAGTGTTCCCAATGCATGGTCTATGATTGGACTCTTTCCAGAGTGTAGATTACAGATGGCCTCATGCTAACCAGCCTCTTCCCAGAGTCACTGTAGCACCAGGCCTGGGCTAACACCAATGAAGTTCCCAAGGACAAATGACAAAAAATAATGGCTTTTCTGACACTAGTTGATTATTTGCATTTGATTCTTACATCCATAGCTACTTTGATGTAAGGAAGTTAGACTGATGTTCTTAATTAGTGTTATCAAATTTTTTGATGCCTTTATAAAGTCTACTTGTATATACTTTGGTGCACTGCCAATTCAAGAACATTTCTATATTATTTTATGTTTTGTCTTCTAAAAGCATATCTGTATTTCTACCACTTCCTAAAAGCTGATGTTTAATTTTTTGGATTTTTTTAAAGACAATATATACGGAGCAACCACTGTAGATAAAGCTATATACAGCTCCAAATGAATGACAAAACAAAAAAGGAAGGAAAAAAAATTGACAGATACTAAGCAAATGTCAGAGCGTTCATCAAACTGAAGGGGAAAGGGCCCAGGAGCAGCAGAGTCTCTCTGTAGAAATTGCCATTTCATAACTTCCCAAAATGTTTTCAGACATAAAGTAAAAATAGAAACCAGCACTTAAGTCTAAAACAGGCTGTGATGTGAGCAAGAGTTATACTCAGAAGCAGAGGAAAATGAAACTTGGCCTTTTTGTTGTCGGTAATAAATGGGCACCAATGGATCACGCACATTTTTCTGGAAAAAGGCAGGATTTTCAAGGTCAACTCCAGGAGACATGATTCCTTTCCTGCTTTAAACAGTGGCAGGGTCAATAAGAGGGAACTAAAACTTCCCAAGGCTTCGATGGGGCAAAAGAAACCCAACTTGAGGTTGCAAGTTCAGGGTTTGGTGGTGAGTCCGGTATTGCCACTTCTATTGCTGCGTCCGACATTGTCCTTGTGTTACAAGAACAAATCACTTCAATTTCTTGCTGGGTTTTTTTTTTTATGTGCCTAGACGCTGTTTGGATCTATTCTCTATGAACAGAGCCCTACACCAAAAGAAACCAACTAACTATGGCAAAGAACAAAGGGTTCAAGGTGCAGGAGGTGCACCAAGATTTATTATTGACTCAAAGTCCTTTCCGTGTAGCAGAAGCCAGCGATAGAATTAATATTTAATTCTGACCTTTTTTTGGTATCATATCTCAGCAGCACAACAGTCCACTAAAGTCTTCAACAGCTGAGGAGAAGGGAAACCAGAACGTACCAGAATTTACTTCACTGGAGATTTACATGCAAGTTAAAATGTGTGATTCAAGATACAAACACACAACAGAAAAGCTGATATTCAGCCTTGCGATCAGTAAGGCTGGACCAGGGTGAGGCAAACCAGGAGAGAATTTAAGCTGGCATTACTGAGAAAGACTCAGTAATCCAGATAAATAATATTTTAATGTGATACTTTTAAAGCTCAAAATTAATGCAAAACAATCCATGATGAACACGACATCCCATTTTAAAAAATAATTTTAAATACAGAAGTGTTGTGAAGGACATGTAAGAGCCAGCGACAATAGGGAAAAAATCACTAATATCCACCCTCTCCTTAATTTAAATATTGATATTTTGTTCACCATGGATGCTTTTGTATCAGTTTCAAGTTTTTAAAAAAAAAATATTGCATAAAATACTGTTAAGTTTGATTACTGAGATGTTTGGTGCCTCCTTATGTTTCGCCATCTAGGATTGTGTTTTGCTCAGCTCTGGCCAAGTCCGGGCCCTGGCGGGTCATTCCCAGTTCCCAGGAAGGCCGTGGAGACAGGTGGGCCGGACGGGACTGTCCCCACGGAAAGGGCTGGAGGCCGGCGGCGGAGGGCTCCCGCCTGGGGCCGGACCCGCGCCTACCTCGCTTGTCCCGCGTGCCGTGCTTCTTGGCCAGGCTGAGCTCCCTCTGGATCCGATTTTCCAGGTACTCTTGTTTCTTGCCCAGCATCTCCTCTGTCTCCCGAAGTCGGGCCAGGGCTTCCTGGGGGCTGGGAGCCGCTCGGCTCTTGGAAGAGCCTCCCCCTTTAAAGAACTTGCCCAACTTGCTCATGGCTCTGGAGCTGGGGGGCCAGCGGGCCGGGAGCAGGGTCTCCCCGGGGCCGCGCCGCGGGGAACAGGTGCGCGAGATCGGGCTCTGGTCTCGGAGGGGGGTTGGGGGGAACC